CGGTACGAGGCCTTTTCTTGTCTCGTTGATTCTTGGAAAGCACGCTTCCCTGTGAATTGTAATTTCGCGAATTTGTTCGCGAGTGTCTCCGAACAACAAATTAATGGCAAATTAATTCTTGACAAAGTTTTCGTTCCGATACGAACACGCGTTTCCCTTAGAAAATGAAATTTATCTGCACCAATCGAAGCACCGATCGAACTATAATTTATAACAATACACGTACAAAATGCCTGGACAAAGTATGAAGTTGAAACGAATGTTTTTCCAATCGTCGACAATCAACGTGGAACGTGAGCTCCAATTTATCGATCGGCAACGCACACGTTGTATATAATAAGGAAAATCCCTGAACGGCTGTCGAAGGCCGAGCGGATTCTCGTAAATAATTTATCAAACGACATATCTGGAAGTGTTTTCTTCGGTGAAACACGACGCTCTGCCGGATTCCAAGTGAACGTTAGACAGCACGTTAGACAAAAAATAAATGCCAGTCGATTGCAGTTGATCGGAGTAATCACGGAAGAAGCTTCGACAGAGGTTTCGCAAGAAGCATCGAAAGATCGACGCGAATTAAAATTGGACGAAGGAAAAGTTGCATCGACAAGATGGTATCACACGTTGGTATAATTAAAACAAACAAAGAATACGCTCGGAAGTGTAGAATCGGCCGATGGTGGGACCTCGTCGACCTTGCAACTCGAGCCCTGATCTGGCGCGGAAATTCTCGCGAAGAAACCGTTGCCGCGTGCAGTTTTCTTCGTCGTTGAAGTAATCGCAGAATAGTATCGGCACTCGAAACAACGCTGACGTCTTTTTACGTCAAAGGAATTAGTCGACGGATGTGGTAATGGTCATATCAAACAATACAAATGATTTTTTGATTGGTCTTTAAGATTATATGTTCAGAAAAAAAAAAAAAAAAAATGGGAAGAAGGTGGTGGAAAAATTAATAAATGAAGAGTTCAGAACTTTAAAGATTTTTAAATACGAATTTTGATAGATTCAAAATATCAGAATCGAAAGATTCCAATGTTTAAAGATTTCAAGAATTGGAAGATTCCAATATCGAAGAATGTAAAGATTGAGAGCCTGCAATATTCAGAAGCTTAAAGATTAAAAAATGCCAACATTCGACGCCTCACTTTCACGCCTAAAGTCAAATACCCTAAAAAAAGAAAAAAAAAAAAAATTCCAAACTTCACTTTCTCGAAGGACGATCCGACCTTTGAAGAGAGCCCTATATAATTTCTTCGAACGCCACTTGTCTCGAAGGCGTTTCGAGGGCCGCGCCAGCTCACGCCCGAAAAGCACAACGATCAGATGATCGATCTTCCAGACCGGTGCTGCTGCAGTCCTTTGAATACGAAATACGGTCCCGGAAAGCTCAATCTCTCCAAGGCTTTGGCTGTTCAAGGGCGAGCAGGAAAAGCCAGCGGGGTACCTCTTCCGTCGAGAGTGGGTGACCGATGCCCGAACAGGGAAGAGAAGGAAGATTGTTCCTGGATATTTATAACAGACCGCGAGCGAGCCAGAACGCCACGATAAATCAAAATGCAAGAGGCTGGCACTGGGGATGAACCGGACCCTCGTGGGGTCAGATCAGCTTTCGTTACGACGCAAAAGGAGAGAAGGAGGAGGAGGCAGTCGTGAAGGTAGACTAAAAAGAAAAGGAAAGAAAGAGGGGGAAAGGAGGGAAAAAAGAAGAGAGGAAGAGAGGATTGAAAATGAAGAGAAGCTGGACCACGGGAGAAGGACGCTCAGGGCCGTGATGAATGCAGGCCGAAAGGAGGCTGGCCTCATCTACATTCCTGAATGTACGATGAACGATGCGCCGCGTCGATCTCGCGGCTGCTCTTGATAATCAGCGTGCCTTATCGTCTGCGACTTTCGAGGGACTCGCTTATTGTTACTCGCTCAACCATACGTTTCGCAATCGTGATTCGTACGTCGGTGAATGCCGGATGAGAAGCGAATACATGCGCTCGTACCATGACTCGACTAGCAGGGCGTTCGCTATTGTTATTAACCAAGCTTTGTCATTACTGTTAACTGGCGGCGGCGAATCCCGCGTGATTCGCGACGATTGAATAATGGAAGGGACGATTCCGCGACGCATCGGCGCAGGTGTTAATTTTTCCTTTAAAAGTTTTGCACGACAGAACGGTGTGTTTGCATTATTGTGGGCGTAGAAGTTCGGGGAATGGTTTCTGAGAATCCTTTCTGGGATGAGTATTTGCAATTGAATTTCTAGTATGTTTGCTAGTCTGTCAACAGCAGGAATATCTACTTATAGATGAGGATTCATCAAGATTGTTGACTTTTTCCAAATTGAATTCTTCTTCTTTCAAGAGAAAGAAAAGGAATATTAACCTTGTAGACAAGCCTAGAAAAATTTCACAGATTATTTTAATATTATTACATACATACAAGTATACCAAATATAAATACCAAAAACAAAGAACCGATTATAATTAAACAGTGGTAAATGTATCGAAAAGTCTGAAACAATGGAGGAAAGTGAATACAGACAAATCAACTTAGTGATAGCAATGATTACCA